ATAAAACTTTTAAAATTACAGCATAGCAATAAATCATAGGTAAAACATAACTCTAAAAAATTTTACAGTCGAATCGCGTGCCGGTATGAAAATAGATCTGGTTATAATATTAATATTGCTCACGTTATTCATACAAGTTGTGTTAAAACGTGTCAAGGCACCTAAGGGAGCATTATTTCAAAGAGTTCGCGAACACGGTTGTAAACCACTAACGACTGCCCGACCGCGACCGCGATAATGAATTCACTCTGCACTCAAACCGTCTCCGCATTTGATTCTAACGAGGGACTCCAAATATTTGAATACAAATCTCAATCCAGTAGCAATTTTTAACATATACATGAATTTAATTTGCTCATTGCCACACGAATTACTAGAAAGGTAATCATAATCATCTGCTAGGACAGATGAGTTGAGTAAGGTAGGAAGGTAGGCCTTATCCTACCCACGTGGGGTCGGCACTCCGAGTTTTCGTCCTCCACTTGAAAATTAGGTCAACCAAACACTGATGCATCATCAGTTTATGATATGTTTAAAATAAATGGAAATCCAACATCAGAAGTATTGATTTTAAGAAAGATATAACTTTTTTTAATATTAAATTCGAACATTAAACACTTTTAAACATTTTTGTTTGCGATTTTATTTGTCTTTGTCAAGATATTTGCTTCTTTCAGGTAGTATTTCGAACAAATTTATTAACTATTAGAATTCACGTGTGTAGTAACATTAATTTCACTAATAGCAGTCACAGCCGCGGGTGAAACAATTTGCATAAAGTATTTCCTTGCTTTATAACTTGCGTCACGACATCTTTAATAACTGCTGAGGCTTTTTGCGACGTCTTTGGCAAAATAACTTGGGTGTAGAGCGTAATACTCCTGCTCGAGTTATGTTATGATTACAATGTTTGACTCGAAATTAACAAAGTTAATATATGCACGTATTATGCGGTATTTTTTTTCTTGAGTACAGTCAGTTTCTACTTCCGTATGGTCGTTTTTGTACTTCAAATTACTGTAGCATCCGTCATTTCAGTCATCACTCTCTTCTTGGCTGTATCATCTTTAATGCAATCCAGTCATCTTTTTCCAGGTCTATCTCTACCATAGTCAGTTATTTTTATAGAAACGAAAACTATGTAATTAATTTCTTTCGAAATATATCTGTGTAGGAGCTTTGTAATACGTAATTTAGTTAGAATTAAACTTACGTACATTTTATATGCGTAAATGAAATGAAAATGTTTGTAAAGACTAACAAAAAACGTGACCCCAATTATTTTTATAACAATGGCTTTATATGGACCGGAATCATGGAGGTTCCCTAAAATTTGCATTACTTTTTTAGACTAAATTTTATGTTAATTTGCTACTGATTTTACAACAAACAATTTAACAAATTCCATATTTGGAGTACTAAACAAGTGACTCTTAATTATACCTACTATTGAATAATAGATTAATTTATTTTCTTTTCCGATTTATCGGATTTATTGGACGTCGGTCGAGTAAAAGAAGACGAGTAAAGGTTACTGTCTTAATCATGCTCTGCCTAAAACGTGAGGCCGGGTCGCGACGCTTGTATAAATTGCTAGCCGTATTTCATAAACATAATAAAGCTCGTCAAACGTACTCGAACCCGTAGAGGCCATATCTGTGCTCACTACATAAATCAAACATAAATAAAGGACCTCATAACCTGTCAACGTAATACCATTCAAGCTAGGCCGGGGTGCGTAATATTGTAGAATAAATCATATTTAGTTAAAATATGCTCCAATACTTACTGCTGAATATGGAATTTTGTCATTTAAGAAAATGACACTGAAGAAGATCACGGTGACTATTATATTATACTCGTAAAATAGGACATGACTAATAATTTTCTTATCAGGTAATGTACTGTAGTAACTATTGTTTGAGAATAAAAGGCCTCTTATTTTGAATTGAATAATTAAATATTAAATGTTTTCATAGATAAACATAGATGGCTATAACTACCGAAATTGCCCCAGTTAAATCTGGAATAAACATTAAAAAAAAAACAATTTTACATGAATTCTAAGTTACAATGAACCAGGCACAGATTACACAGTAATAAAATAAAAGTCTGTAAAAGAGGCACTTTATACGAGTGCGAAATATTTTTCCAGAGAGTTAGGCTCAATACTATTTGCTCTGCGACATTCTCCCTCGTGAAAATCTCTTAGATACGATCATAAATCGCTTTGGTTGACATAATAGCGTGAAGGGAAAGGCTCGGATTTATGCATGTTTGATTTAGGAGTAGGCGAGAGTTGTCGTTTTATGAATGGTTTAACAAAAAATGGAAGTTTAGTTAAAGGTACTTTATTGTAGGATTTTATTTTTGAGCTTACATTTTTGCTTTTATATTACACATTATTTTAATTAGTTAACATTTAAATTAAAAAACCAAAATGCTAAAGTTTTAATTCATAAAATATAAAGTAACGTAAGTACTTTTTCCATTCATTATACAATTCATTTTTCCAAAACCACAAAAGAAAATATGTCCGTAATTTTGATTGGTTGTCGATTTGTGTTTACTTTTAATGGATATTAATGAAGTTGCAATGTTATTGTGTTACTAAAATTAATCATTCGATGGTGATTCGTTTTTCGCGAAGAGAAACGAATTTTGGGGCTGAAACGATCTGTTCTAAATTCAGGACACGATTCAAATTAAGTGATAAAGCGTTCAGAGAACGCCGTCTGTGCTCGCTTGTCACTCGTTAGGTAATACGCAATGGAGCAAAATATCATTTTGTCTATTAAAATATATTTTCTCCGTGAATTGTATTAATTAGATTGAAATAAAATAATAGATTAAGATTATAACAAATTGATGTATTAATTACATACGAAAGTAAATGAGCAGCAGGTAAAAAGTAAACACACATTTGTAAAACGCTTAATTAGGAGCAAAGAATTCCTACATAAACAGAAATTCTGCCGATTCGCTGCCTCTGATTACGCAACTCAACACCGCAGACTTATTTTTGGTAACATTTCAAAGATACTTTGATCATTAGTAGATATCATTACAACGATAGATACAGGTAATTTATTACCAAATAAGCCTACGAGTGCGGCGTAGCATTTATTACTAATTGACATTATATGACTAAATCAGTCCAAATAATACTTTTATAACAACAATATTTATTTAAAAATAAACACTTCTGATAATGTGTGGGTATATGATTAAGGTAACTCCTTGTATTGTAAACCTAGTCTGCTACGAATCAACGTAGCAATTGCTACGAACATTAGTAATCGTAGAACGTGCGTAGGTATGTACGAAATAAATTTAGAAATTCTAAATATTTTTCTATTTTGATACAGTATTTTCATTTGTAATATTTCTATTATTATTAACCAACTCAATGTCTTATAGTGTGCCATACTGAACTGGTTATCATTGTCTCTTCTTTAAAAAAATGTATTGCCTCTTCCAACTAAGTACAATAAAATGAACATAATAAGTATTATGTGACAATTTCATGCTACTATTGTAAATGAGCGTAGGCAGTTTGTAAATTGTTATGAAGGAAATGGAGAGCATATACATGTATGATTTTATGATATTTCCCATTCTTGAATACGGCGTCGTGCTTACGTTAAAGTGTTACGACCTTTTCGATGTGCAGGAAAAAATGATATCTACTCACGTTCCACTCATAAGGGTATCAGATCTAATGACATTTACCTTAATATTGGGGGCATGATATTGACACGGTTCCTTAATAACTTAATAAAGAAAAGATACGTATGATGTATTAATATATTAGACGAGTCGACATAGCGACGTGGAAATAACTTATTAATTACATTGCTGGTCAGCGTTCTCCTTTTAGGATAGTAAGTATTTATCTTTTGAAGTATGATATGAACTTAACATCAATATATTTCGATTTGGTTATAAGACTACCTAATTTCGACTGTACTCGTAATCTCTGTCGTTTATTGACCTTTGCTTTATATAAAGCCATCCTAAAGCTCGTTAAGAAATACTCAGATTTTTTTACTATTTTAAGGGACAATTGTTTTATTTCGCTACTAGCTTTTGCTCGCGACTCCGTCCGCGTGGTATTAAAAATAAATAAAGTGAATAGGTTATATGTTCTTCCAGGCTATCTTCTACATCTATACCAAATTTCATCGAAATAAGTTCAGCCGTTTAGGCTACAAACTCTAACAAACATCCATCCATCCATCCATCTAAACATTCGCATTTATAATATTAGCATGATGTTATGCTTTTGATTGCTTAGTATCTAGCAATAGTTATTAAAGTTTAATTATTTCACGTGTACTTTTTTAAATATTACCAAGGTTTCATTGTTATTGCAGGGATTTTGTAGATTGCAGATTGCGAAAATAAATTGTAACAAAAACATTTCCCGTCTAATTGTGAAAATGAATCCTTTACTTAAAGAAACGATTCGTAGTCTTTACTCCGAGTTGCTACAAACAACGCAGTGGTTTTCTTTAAAAAATCAAAACAAAAAACTTCGATAACTTTTTCTTTTAAGCTTTCATTTCTTTATTGGTATTAAAATAGAAGTGTTTTTTATTTGGTTTTTTATATAGTGTCAGTGCTGAGTAAAAGCTATATATTGTTTCAGGTACTTTTTATTTATTTAAAATACATATTTTAGTTCACTTATTGTCGTGATTTTTAAGAAATAAATTAGATAAAACGGTTGATTAAAAGTATATGGTTATATAACCTATGTTTCTATCGCTAAGAAATTAAACGTTTACATAATTTAACAAAAATAAACACAGATCTCATTAACGTTTGTTTCTTGTAGACTTAACTAAAAGATCATATTCAATAGAAGTAATTAATTATTCTCAGCCATTGGACTCTAATTCGGTACAAATAAAAGCGTTCTGTGTGGGGCCGGTGGGGCGCGGGCGGTCGAAAATGCAGCGACTGCTGAGAACATGGCTCAGTTGGCTCGCCGGATTCACAGCTGTCGGACGTGTGCGTTCCATTTTAATAAAATAAATTACGTACGTTCTTAGTTAACAGTCAATGCGTGGATTGAATCGCGAGTGTACAGTGACGATTAAATAATAATAAATGACGAATTTGTGATACGTGATGAAACTTTTTGTTTAATTTCCCAAGGATGTTTATCACTTTCGTAATTATCAGCTTGCTTGTAAAAGGTAATTCATATATTTATATTTTGAATTAAGGTATTTCCTTACAAATAAATCTTGAAAATACATTTTTCTTATACTGTTTTACATATAGGTACATGATAATAGTTAAAAGCACTGTGGTATAATATATGAATCTTTCATGATTTGTTGTAGGTGCTTAGATTACATACAGTAAGAAACTTGTACTTGAAATGTAAAATAAACAATATACACGAAGAGAAACGTATCCATAACTTTGCTATAACTGTTACTTATTTTTAACCTACTGTTTACATTTTTCTTTAAATTATTTTAAAGCTATAAAATTTTTGCTATTACAAATATAGCATTTAATATAATAATAGAGTTGAGTTAAAACAAAACAGTAAATAAAGAAGTGACATAACAAAAGTACAATTTTTACCTATTGATTAATCAATAAACAGTTAAATCATTTTAATTAAATGCATATTAAGCTTTATTTAAAATATACTTAGACCAGCGAGCTTTTAAATTAAAACTTTAAACATTAAAGTCGTAAAGCTAGTGCTCTTTAACTAGTTTATATGTCTATATTACTCATTCAAAGAGCACTTCTTTACTCCGATGCCGAACTCTAGGGAAATTTATTCATGTACATGCATTTATATAACTTTATTTACAATTTCATATTTGTATATTACATTAATTCAAGAGACCTGAATCATAGTTGAATTTTTAATATGTCATGTGTTCGTTTCAGTATTAAAATTTGTGTTTACAATTGGAGGAATCATTTCATTGAGTGGGTATCACTAGCTAGATAACCTTTCAATACCGCAAATAGCTTGTTCGCAGTAGCAAATTTTAACAGTTTCTTTGAACTCAATTAGGACGATTTTTCAAATAAAATTGTAAACCTGCGTTTTATCTAAATATTTATATCTGATATTAAATATTCATTGCAGTATGGGGTAAAACAATAGTTTGTGTAAAAAACTAAAATTTGTAATTGTCGAATACAATCAAATAGCCCAAAATCAATTAAATTGTTATCTAAATACTTAAAAATTACTCATTAAATGAATGTTTGTAATTATCATAAAAAGATAGATAGAGATTGTTAGTTTACATTTCGTAAGTTTTAACTTAGTCCTTCAAGCAAGCGTACTCTCAAAGCATTGCAACGTATACGGCTGTTCCTCTAGTATTGCGATTTTTTATGGCCGTCGATGATTACTTCTGTGTTCATATCATTTTTCGCTTCTCTAAAAATCATCACCATATTGTTCTGTAATAAATTATATTTCAATTGCATTATCAATATATCGATTTAACAACGGGGAAAAAACTTAATTGTTAAATAAACATTCACGAACTAGCACCTAGCCATGTAATTAAAAGTGTTTATTAAAATTTAATAAACCTTGATATATTCAAACTAGCTGTTCCTGTACAGACTCATCCGCGTGAAATTACCTAAAACTTCATTTTATTGTTAACATTTGTTAAAATTCTCAATTGCAAATATCAAAACTACCGTTACCATAATAATCTTGTGTCCTTAATGTCGGCAGATTGTAGTTTATGGTCCTCTTCCTAAATGTAGGTTTTCTTTCAATTTATTTACCCCCTAAGTTTAATAGCGTGAAAATATATAGCCTAAAGCGTGACGTAAGTGTACGACTTTTTGTAAAAAAAGGAATTATTAAAAAATATGCTGTATTTGCTGACATTTTAGGCAACAAAGAAGTGTGTGTTTACGCTTTATTATAATAGTACTAGCTGTTCCAGTGCGGCTTCATCCGCATGAAATTATGAAAAATTGATTTTGTTACATTTGTCAAATTATCAATAGCAAATGTCAAAATGACATGACATGACAAACATTCCTTGATGTTGGCAGCAACTTATGGTCTCTTGCCCACATTAGGGTTTTTATCCAAAACATTTACCCCCTAAATTCAATAGCGTGAAAATATATAGCTTAAAGCGTGACGTAAGTGTAGGGCTTTATATTAAGAAAAGAATCATTCAAAAATATACTGTAATAGCTGACATATTAGGCAACAAAGAAATGTGCGTTTAAGATTTATTATAATAGTATAGATAAAAGTATAGTTAAATAAAACGATAGTTTTGCATTACTCAAATTGTCAGTGAATTACTTTATTTACTTTACGTATTCGCTTTTTCCAAAGACACTGTCTTATACGAGGTTGAGTAAGATAAATGGCTCTTTACAAATAAGTAGATCATAGAATATACAAACACAATGAAAAGTATTTCGTATGTAACGGAAACAAGTAACATTTTTATGCTTAAAGTACTGAGACAAAACATGTTATCAATAAAATAACGTATTCCTTGAAGTCAGATTTATAAAACTGTACTTTTTGAGTAAGGACACGTGCTATGTGCGGTTACTGAAGCTGTTGTTATATTTGCATAATAAATAGGAAAGGATTACTATGGACTGTGTCGCATTCAATGAAACTTGTAACATTAACGCATTATGTTTTGCTTGCGTATTTTCTTTAGCCTACGGTGTAATCCTGTGTATTCATTGTAACTAAATACATGAGAACATTTATGTTCTATTTGTGGACTACGGTGTTCCCTTCAAATCGTCGTAGAAATTGTTCAATTTTAACCTTGAGTGATGTGACGTTTACACCGTGGTGACAGACATAACAATATTTTTATAATCAATCCCTGCGAGCACTGGTAAATGTGAATAGATGTTAGATTAGAAAAATAATAACAGACAAACTTAGGAAAAAAATAGCTCAGTAATGATAATGTTGTTAAAAGATGTATAAAAAATCAAATAACGCTAATAAAAAAGATTTAACAAATCATAAAAAAACATGTATAAAATATGATATATAAATAATAATTAAAAAAAGTAAAGCGTAAAGAATTTCATAAAACAGTTAAAACTAAAAGGCTACAAAATTGCTGCAAAGGAATAAAGCAGCAGGAATGTCAGAAAATTAAAAAAAAATGTTAAGGTTTCCGTTTCCGTTTCCGTTGTTATAGCTAAGTAATTAATAGACTTTGCTTCTATATTAATAAATGCAGAGGTGTAGTAACAATTTCGGCTGTTTTAATAAAATAAATACATACATATTTTACTATAAAAGCGTCGTAAAAATTCCTAACTTGTTAAGAAAAATAAGAATTGTGATAAAATTACAAGTTAAACAACTCCATAAAGCCTTTTAGAAAGAATTCCCCCGACTGGGGAGTCTAAATAGCCGAGGGTTAAAGTTATTTTGTGTAATATTATATTACTATAATACTTTCACTATGAAATAACTCAAGTTTAGTTCATGCTACGAAATTCGTAGATCCATTTTGCGTAGAACCGTTTTGCGTAGCAGTATTTACGTAGCACAATCACAGCGTGATCTTAAAATCAGACTGGCAATATGACAAAGTTATTATATTTTTGTTACATGTTTCCTTTTTATAATATAAACCAAAATTAATTAAAATTACGTTTATTACTTAGTGAATATTATAACATATTACTATTATATCCAAATTTATGATTTTGTTACAATATATTAATATAAATACATAATTTGTATTTTTGGATTTTTGTTTGTATTAAAATAACTCAAAACTACTGAGCTGATTAAAAAAATACATAATTAAACAGCTACGTTATCACTGAGTCAGAGAGCATATATTAGGCTTTGTTTTTTTTTTAATTTCACGGGGGCAAAGTCGCAAATAACACCTAACTTTTAATAAATCCAAATTGAGCTATAACGTAATATTTTGTCAAAACATGTGTGTAACATTTGTTCACAGAATCAATGCTACTAAGAATAGTAAGGGTAGCAGTACCATCATACAAAGTAAGGGGCCAGCCGGCTCAGTTGGATTGTGACTATGAGTTAGGGGATGATATACTTTATTCTGTAAAATGGTATCGAGATAACGAAGAATTCTATCGCTACATGCCTAAGTTCGACCCTCCAAAGCACGCGTATAAATTAGACGGAATAAAAGTCGATGTAAGTATGTTTATTTATTATGTTCTAGCAGATATAGTTATAGAGTAAAGTAAGTGTACCTTCAAAGGGTTGAGGAATATTTTACATAACTGTAATCTCAATTTGAACAGGTACAAGGGACGTCATTAATATTGGACAACAAACCCGAAACTCTTAACTAAAAGGGTTTGATTTTGTATTTCAATACAATTTCTTTTTTTCTGTATTAAGAGACAAAGTCCTATAATTTCTTTATAAAGTAGTGACTATTTTCGCAAACAAAGGGTTAGTTACAAGGCTATGAAAGGGTTGGAAGTCAGGGTTTTATTTAGACCACAATTTATCATAACTATTTCTGCATTAAATTTATGGATACATATATCCCTTAAAATAAAAGTTACGGGTTCAATGCGCAAGTCAGGCGTGTGTTTGAAATATAAGAGTAAGTAGTTAAGATAACTTGTCTGGGAGAGAACAACAAATCATTATTGACTTTTTGACTGTTGTTTGTATCAAATCGAAGTAATACGCTAATAATATTTCCAGTTACTTAAATCTGATGACCGGAGAGTTATATTACATCCAGTGACATTAAAATCAAGCGGTCAATATCGCTGTGAAGTGTCTGCAGAAGCGCCCAGCTTTGCCTCAGCCGCCGGTGAAGGGAGAATGGAAGTAATTTGTAAGTAGTAAAGTAGAAAGTTTAATAATAAACAGTAAAGTTATTATTTAATAGTTGACTTTATATAAGGAAATCTTGTACTCTAAAATTGATGTTTCCTTTTCTCTTTAAGAAAGTTTAGGATTTTTTGTGGTGTTCATATTATGCATCAATTAAATTAGGTATTTTATTATTGTAATCTGTTATAAAAGATGTTATATTTCTTCGCACAACAAATAGAATGTTTCCTTGAAAGTTCATACTTTTCGGTCGTTAAAATATTTCGATTCATGCACAGATTTGCCCCGGGAAGGGCCGAGAATAACCGGCAACCAACAAGAGAACAGAAGAGGTGACTCGATGTTCCTAAACTGCACGTCGGGTCGCTCCTACCCCGCGGCAATACTCAGTTGGGATATCGACGGTGAAAAGGTAACTTTGTTTGCTATACAAATTTGCCATTCATTAACCGGTGCTGATTTCACCCAAGTGAACAGAAAAATTCGGATTCATTATTTATTTATTTGGGAGTTTTAACAACCCTTACTAGACTTACGTTGGTTTCGAACATTACATTTTGTTAGGTTCGATAATTACTATTATGAGGTTTTTCTTTATATCTACACTAGCTGTTTTCGCGTGACTTCATCGCATGAAATTATGAATTTTTTTTTTGTTTACATTTGTCAAATTATCAAAATGACGTGACATGATGACAACCTTGTTTCCTTGATGTTGGCAGCAACTTATGATCTCTTTCCCACATTGGGTTATTTATCCAAAATATTTACCCCCTAAGTTTAATGGTGTTAAATATATAGCCTAAAGCGTGACGCAAGTGTAGGGCATTTTATTAAAAAAAAGAATTATTCAAAAATATCCTGTGATTGCTGATATCTTAGGCAACAAAGGGGTACCAGATTTTCATCGTAAATTATGTTGTACAAAGTTAATTTTAGAATATAATATTATTTATGGTATGAGAGTTGGAGCACTCTACCCATTATTGTTAATATTTGATGGGTGCTCGTACGTACGATATATTTAGAACAAATATAGTATCAAATGGCAGAAATAATGTATTTTATCTTTAAACCTACGCTGAAAATAATATCCTGCGAACGTAATATCCTGTCTGTAATTAACTTGTTGATACTTATTATGTTTACATTGCCTTTAAAATGTGGTATTTCATTAATAACTACAAAATTAGCTTTTATATGTCGAAAATTTTCCTTAACATTAACTTCGTAGTAGTTAAATTAAAAAAAACTACTTAGCTCGACTAAGTGTAAAACAATCATTCGATTGAGGTGTTTAGATTACCAATTAACTTAGTCACAACATGCATAATGAAGCTATTAAATACATTAGCGAATGTCACAGAAGTTTGTTTAAAAAGTAAACAGATATTTTTTTAATTCTTTTGACACTAGGTGACAGACCCAGCACTGCTAGTTGAGTACCCCCATATTCAACACCAGCACGGGTTGGTGTCAACCGCGCTGGGCCTGCGCGTGCCAACAGGCCGCACGATGCAGGTGCGCTGCACCGCGCGAGTGGCGCCCTCGTGGCGGGAGGGGAGTGAAGCTGTTGTTGGCAACAGCCAACTCGCTGATAGCAAAGAAGCCATGTTGTTAGGTGAGACATTTTAAATATGCCTTTTTAATTACAAGACATTTTTTTAACAGTTATATCTTTAAATATATTTGAACCTTGCAAAAAAATAGGTAGCTGATCACAAAGATAATATCGTCAACATTAACAATCATGTTATAGAGGTAATTAGTATAGGCAGAAACATAAAAAAGAACTATTGTACTAAAAGTTTCTTTTTGTTTCAGTGAAAAGTTCAAGCGGAGGGTGTACACTAAACGTAATGTTGTTAACACTTTCTTTTATTCAACTTCTTAGTTCTTTAATGCAATTAGAAACGTGATAAATTATCCCTTATCTTTTAACAGAACCTTTAGAAACGATCACAATTGTTAATAGTTTCGACTGAAAAAGTTGCGTAGTAAACCTGTTTAAGTCGTGCAGTTTTATTTCTTGCGTATTCTTAAGTAAGATAAAAGAGAATTTAAAAAATGTAAAAATGTTGTAATTAGTAGTAATGTTAAGAACAAAATACATATCTTTTTTAATTGCATATCTTATGTATTAACGTAATATTCATAATATTTTTGTTTTCAATATTTTCCGTAATGTAAGAAACTTTTTGCTTTCTATGAGGTAAAACCAGTAAGATATAATATGTAAGAATATATATAATTGTAAATATAAATTAGAACTGCCTTCTTAGATAGAAATACTAATATCTATAGACGTTGTAAATAATTGAATTAAAAGTTTTGTAATGATGTTGCTTATGGTATAAAAAATACGATCAAATGGGAAAAATAATTAGTTAATTTAATTTAATAATAATGTAAAATAATTACAAATTGCTTACACTTCTTATTCTGTTTCAATATGAATTAGTCTATTTTAAAATATTTATGTTACTTTAAATGTATTTATGTGTTTGCGTACTAACATTGTTGTTATATGAGTCAATTGTCTTCCTAGTTGCATTGAGCCAGGATTTTGTTTCTTTTTTTCGGTAATAACAGCAACTAAGTATCGATAGCAATGCAATTTTTGTAAGATGGAAGGAAGTTTTAAGAAAAATTTGATATGTTCTTTAAGTGCTTATGCTTACAAAAATTTCTAGCGATTTCTTAATTTTATTGATCCCACTGTAATGTAAATTAATTCAAAAGTTTGCTTTCATCGTTAAATTTTATGGTAGTATGTATTTTACTGAAGAATTTAGGTTGAAATAAAAATGTTTTATTGCAAAAAAGAATTTTATTTTCTCAATAATCCTAACATATAACACTAAAATCTATATGAAAAAAAATTATCTATCTATCATGTCATTGTACTACAATAAACTTTTTACATAAACAAAATTTAAATAATTAAGTATAACATGAAATTGTACCTAACGTTTGTTTCGTGGTTCATATAAACTACGACACAAAGTTTCTTACAAAAATGAAATGTCATCTTGGGACACAAGGAAGTACGTGTAGCGTGGCTTAGCGTCCGGCAGCGGTCATTACAAGCAGTAACAATCTCCGGTAGACACACAAACAATGACGTGGAAAACCACAACAGACTTGCCCCTTGTGACAATAACGTAAAATGAGTGCTGACTCACGTACTTCCGTAGGTCTACTATATTTAAGAATACAGGCAAGTACATATTTAAAAATAAAATGTAGCAGTATCAATGTTTTTGACTATTTTTTTTTTAATTTAATATTTAATAAATTTAATATTTTTTTGTTTAAAAAGGGATGGTAACTGAAATAAACTCTAACATTGTTTACGAGAAATATCAAATTGTTTGTTTTTGGTTCGAGAGATATAAACGAGAAAAGTCAATAAGAAATCAATTACCGAAACTGATACAAAAATAATGGATTTCTAAACCGGGAAATATTCACAAAGTCATTGTAATATAACTAAGTGAATCGTCTTCAAAGGTTTTTAAATCTTTTATCCTGACCATATTCTACAAATTGCCGAAGCTTTATCTTTTTAAGGCTTTTGTCAGCAAAATTGCACACTCGATTACGACATCTCAACAATATTTCAAATCGGATTTGACCCTCATTTATGAATTGTTAGCTTCATATTCCATTCTATCGATTTAATTATTGTTATTTGAGAGATGTCGACATCTGATATCTATCATATTAATGCTTCGGTAATTACTAAAGATAATAAATAATTCGCTATTTTCTTCTTGCGGAAAACTTTCTTGAACCTCGGCTCATCTGTCACAAACGGCAATGAAATGTAAAGTTTCTAGAAGCATTATCTCATTCATTCCATGCGATTTTTTATAGACACTTACGTTATTATAAGTGCACGGGAGAATTCAAATCGATAATAAACATAACTGCACATGAGACAACACTAACTAACCCCAGTAAAGGTGTGAAACCTCCAATTTGATAACTATAAAGCAATTAAGTTTGATAGACGGGAAAATTAACGCTTATAAAGCGAAATATGACACTGTCTTTAAGCCTATGTCGATGTAATGGCTCACGCAAAGAATAATTTACATAAAACGACTTGTGCGACGAGATTCATCGGAATAATTAAAGCGCCAAAATATCAAGAGCTACGTCTCTACCTGTGTTAAAATAAAATTCGGAGTGCAAATGAATGGCGCTAAACTCGTTGGAGCTCCAGTTTTAATGGGCACGGCATAACACGCATTGCGAGTTAATAACAGAGGCCACGCGAAGGGGAGAGCCTATTACCTACGTGTTAAATGCGTGAACATTGTGCAAATAATTTTGTTTCAGAAATGTTTCGCGGCACAGAAAAGTTTTAATGAGCCATTAGCACTTAATGTCAAAGAATTGTCGTTGTAACAAAGTTTTTGTTATTATTCTCAATGGATAAAGAAAATAAGCTATTTTATTTTACGTTATGTTTTTATTAATAAAAATATTAGTGATCATTCATAGGCAAAATTTGAACATAATTCAATATTTTTTTACTGATTAGAATAAGCTGTTTGTACTTCTTCCAAAAATTAACTCTGCATCGTTGACGTTCACCCATTTGCGCCATTTGCTTAAATAGCAGTACAAAGTTTTCCCTTTACGTCTTATTACAAATATTTGTACCTGGATTATCGCACATTTTTCCGCTATATAAAACTGTTATAAACTATTGTTAAAAAGCACCACGAATAAAATGACATTAAAGTATTTTGCCAAATTACAATAAGAGTCAACTAGAAATAATAAAAACCGTGTTCAGTATAAAAAGTACATAAACCTTAGAATGATTAGGGTTTGCTACTAAATGGGTCTAGTTTATTCTTATCTGCATTTGTGTGGCCGTACCGACAACTTGTAAAAGCTGATAGGGCGGCGGTTTAGTGGCCACGGAGCGGCCGATATCAGGCCAAGTAGCGCGGCAGCCGAATGGCCAGATAATCTGATTACAGAGTACCAGTCGTGTTTTGTCACGCAATACAGCCCTAAGACAAGTTTAACAGTTACGCTGAAAGGGACAGTTGGCTTGTTAGTTGATCCCACTATTACAATTTCGAAACGACCCCTTTATTACAAGACATGTTTTGTGTGAAGGCATTATTACATTTAATTTACGTAAACGAAAGTTGCCTTTCATAAAGTTGAAATGTTATTGTTTGTGCAAATAAACATTGCCATCGCAAGACTTTTTACGTAATAAATATAAGATTAACCTAAAAAGAAAAAAACTAAAACAAATTTAAACAAATTAAATAATACCGTAGGTATTTAACTCTATTTTTTTATAATATAAAAAAATAATAATTTGGTAAAAGGTCATGAACAAAAGAAAGACGTTTAGCAACAAGTTTTTACTATGTATTTATTTTGCAAGAATATCGAGACTAAATAAATGGAAATTATGTTTTCAAAGACAAATACATCAGTGAAAGTTTCTGAAACGTTGTGTATGAATACATGCCCTTACGAAATATTCAATATTATGGAATAAGGTCAACATGACATTTGTTGGGCATTTACATTCCGTTGGGGTTATAGGGAATACAATAGATACTTACCACGTAAGTAATAGCATGTGTAGTTATCACACAACGTATAATAATTTTTACCTTTCCCTCTAACTGTTTAATACTCTTTGCCAAAAAATCTCGTATATTTATTGCTTAAATATGCTACATTTAAAATTCATTATTGTTCACATATTTTATAACAAATTTCTGTTTATGTTAAAAATTAACTAGTAAAGTCAAATACAACTCCTATTATGTCCGTGGCACGTTAACTAGCGCGGTATAAATGACAAAGTGTCTGTAGGAAAATGTTTGCGCCTACTTCGGTCATTAAAGGGCGGTTCGTGTGAAAAAAATATGTCCTTCGTGTCGTATCTCACAAGAATGGTGATCGATGGACAATGGTCACGCAGCCGAGGCGCACGCGAGTCGTGTCCACTCATTCTTTAGCTTGCCTTCTGACACTTAGTTCGTAGATTACGGACATAAAAATGCCCACCGTGCCTCTTCGTTACCATCGCCGACTTCATTAAACAGATTAATAGAATCTTTTTATTAAAACGCCTAAAAGCTGTCTCTATTTTGTTAATATATTAACTTAAAAAAATATGTATACTATTTTCGAAATTGAAAGCAAAATAAGAAGCGATGAAATTGTTTAGCGATCACTCACTATTAAGAATGATCACAGCACACGTTGCTAGAAAATAAACAATTAACCTATTTATCATAAAAATAAAGTTTCCTTGTTCAAAATAGTCATCCATGCAATAGCTACTGATGCTGGCTATAACAGCTTTGGTTTCAATTTTATATATAGCTAAATAAAAATCCGTAATACTTAAAGAAAAACATACAATACAAATAAATACAACAATTACAGTAAATCTTTCATATCGGTCTAAGAAACCTGTAGTTGAATTATTGGAAAACGGTAAATAAATCTCTTCTGAACGAGGATAAGAGGATCATTAAGACCCATCTCTCAAAACGTCGCTTACTTCACGATTCCTTTGTGATCTTTGTAATTAATAGGCTTAATATTTTCATATATTACATTATCTTATATTTTCCCTTTCAATGTAAGACAAGGTGCCTCTACCTGTACATATTTAATCCTTATTTAAAAGACCGTGTTTTTGGCAATCACATTTGATATAATTTTAACACAACTGTTATGATCTCAAATATTAAAAATGTGTCTATTTTACAACCATTTAAACAAAGTAAACGAATAAACACAGAAATGACGTCACAGAAACGGAAAGAGAGACATTAAAGGTTTCAATTACGCACGAGCGTGGCATTCCTCCCTTGTTAATCTTTAACAATTATTTTTATGTTTTTGTTAGAAAGATTCCTTTTATTTTTTCATTAGTTATAAGGCTATCTTTGTTGTCTTTATTTCTGATTGAATTTTTTATGTCATAAATACATAATTTTAAACGTGTATATTAATAACTAGGATTAAGTCTGGTGTTGTGAGCAAGTGTGCAAAACGAACATAAAATTAATTACTGATTTAGTGTTTGGTCAAAAGTATGAATG